CCACCCCCCAGCCCATTCATACTTAAAACCCATGTGAATGTCTTTCCTTGAGTAGAGATGGTAAAAATATAATGTGACTTTTGCAGTAGCTGAAATTTGGAATACGCATTTTAGTGACTTGAATTATTTCGCAAAAAAGGGAATATTTTATTATTAATTTTTATTCTAACTCAGTCCAGAAGGTCCTATTACGAATGAGGTAGCGTTGTGCACTACCTAAGATTCAAACTACTTTCATTCGTTTACAACACCATTTAAAAGTCCAATATACGAAAATCAATGTTCTTTGACAATTTAGGCGAAAGGTGAGGTAATCAAGAGTCCCCGTGAATGAGAATCTACGTCTGCTGCGTTGAGCTGATTTCGTAATGTATTCTAACCGATTAAAATGGGTCACATGCTTCCTGTGTAATAACTTCTACACTGTTAATCTCGATACATATCGAAACCCAATTTATTGTACGAGTTAGAATTTTGGCATTTCAGCAGGAAGAGGTCAGTCAAAAGTATACTTACTCACAATTCCCTTGTTGCTAATTCAAAAATCTACCCTGAATAGGAGATTGCATTTTTTTCCATTGACGCTCTTTTGATAATTCGATGCTAATTTCTTTTGTCACTTAAAATGAAGCGCAAATTAGAAAGATGCCTTAGGGTTGACATCATGAACAATCAATGGAAAGTCAAATGTGTATATTATAAAATGTACAAGGTAGTAAGCACATGCGTATCGAACACCGATTCGATTGAGGTTGGCTTGGGCAATATCTATGACCTTACCGGATGTGCACTCTCTTTGCTTCTGTCGTCAATCACCACAAACTGAAGAGCCTACTTTGAAGGCTTGTTTTGAGATTAAATATAAGTAGTGATTGGAATAAGAGAAATGTATTCCTCGTTAGTGTTAATAGAAACTCTTATTGCCAGACAAGGCTTTTTAAGCCCTTATTTCTGAATAGGACAATAGTTTTCTTTTAATATATTACTAATTTATTTCACTTTATTCCTGGAGGTGGTTCCATAAATGAAAAAGCTGCTGTCAATTATCAAAATCGATAAAATTGTTTAAAAGTACAATTTTCTAAAGTTTCTCTGTAAAAATGTTAATTTTGCTTGAAGTCCTCTATTTTTATTTCATGATGATGGATTTTATTCTTGAAGTGGAATAACTTCAAGTTTCCACTTTGCATGCGTAGGTGCTAGGAAGATCGTGCTTTCTATTTCCATTGTAAAAGACCTTCATGATGCAGTTGCAAAATTTAAGCACCCAAAGTTTAATCATTTCTCCAATTAATTTCCTTAAAATCATCTCTGAATTTTTTAATCAAAGAGCGAGCTGACTTAATGAAGTTGTAGTGGATTGATACACTAATAAGTCCTGGCGTATCCTTAGCAACCTCTATGGCAAGCTCTCCTAGAATGGAAGGGCTTCAAAAATTACCTCATCCGGCTCAACGTTATAGGGGAAACAGACGTATGGCAGAGAATATGTTTATTTGAGTTCTACGTGCCTGACACGGAGCTTAGTCATTAAAATACAGTCAGAAGGTTGTTAAACAATGACGTGACTATTGATTGGTGGTTTGCTGAGAGGTCTTTGTACTCACGGATGCACATGCTCCCTATGCAACAAGTAGCACGGACCGACCCTTGAACCTACCTGAGTACGCATGAGATTTCTCTGTTTAGCCACGGTAGTGTTGCGCGCTCCAGAAAGGTAAGTAAACGTAAGGAAAGCAGCTGCCCAGTGTCAACTCATTGTGGATAGATTTTTGCTAAAGGGATTTTAACATAAAGAATGACTAATTCAAAGCATATACCAGGAACGATATGGTGGATCTAATACATTCTTCATTCTTCAGAGCTCTTATTCAATGCTTCTTAACGGTTTCGTCTGTTAAATAAACGACAGCCCATAGATCCGTTCGTTTAAAGTGTTGTGAAGATGAAACAGTCAATTGCTTTCAATATACAATTTAACCCCCCCCCCCCTCCCCACCATTTCACAGGCACAATTTCTTGGGCCATGTGCATACCTTGGACATATTTTTTAGAGTTTTGCTAGATCTACAGTAATCTTGAGATTTTTTATTATAATAATCTACGGAAAAATGCTTCTTTTGAAATATTTAGTGAGGACAGAAATTTTCTGCTTTTTTACCCTTATTTCTGCACTTGATGGGGGTGAATGAGTAGTGATTGACCTTCTGGGTTCGCTGATCTACTACTAAGTTCGCGCCGTACGTCTATACTGCAACTTTGTGCTTCAGTTGAAGATAAAGTACTTTCTTTATTGGCACCACAAAGGAAATCTCGAAATTACGCTAACGCATGTGACAACATCGATGGTAATTGCAGAGAATATTATTAAATCTGGTTGTTCATATGCTCATGTTTTCCGGAGAGTCTTATCAGGACACTGAAATCTGCGTTGTAATTTTCTCAGTCGTAAAAGAACCATTTTTTTTAATTTGTACCTATGCATTGAAAGTGGATTCAGTGCTGTTAAATGCTCTTTAGACCTTCGAGTTGACCCGCTTTTAATGCATGAATTAGCTACTGTCAATGTGCAATTAACGAACGACAACGCAGATGTGTAATTGGCATTCACGAAAAGTATTAAAGCTTGCATTCACCACATGCATGTGTAATGGATTTTGAAGGCCAAATAAAATTAAATAAACTAGCAAATACGATTTTATATATTTACTTAATAGCCTTTTTTCATAGACAAATAATTTTAGTTATAAAACGGTATATATGCTTCTTTTGATATACAGTTTTTTTGCATTTCTAATAAATGAAATAATATCACCTCTCGCCCCCACCCCCGATTTAATCTATTCATTAAATGTTATCCACGTTTGTACCTCTAACGGAATCTCAATGCGCAATAGAATTACTAATCATTGAAGCTTATAAAGTTTGCTCCCAATAATAGCCCTGATTGAATAAGTTGAGAAAGTATACTGATACCCTAATTCTGTTTGCAGACGAACATTTTGGCATTAAACTTCATGATTATGGGTTTGGTCTTTGGTCCACTGAACAAATACAGCTGTACAGTACTGTAATACAGATTTCTATGGATATGAATTGTAACGTAATTGGCCTGACAGTTGTCATTCCTCCTGCTTAAAATGCTACTCAAATGTTCGATAACTGTCACCAAAATGTTAAAAAAGCAGGTCCGATGAATTTAAAAATTCTGTGCACAAACGCAAATGATATTTCTGTGACCATCGAAATATTCTCTGCAGTGTCTGACACCAAGTGCTGGTTCGCTTACTTATCTGAATGATGAAAACTTGCCAGATAAATAAAAATTCTTTTTACCTTGTCAAGATATGTGTTTTCCTCAGGTAAATGGGCCATAATACAAAGAATATAGCTAACACGTCTAGATTTAACAGAATAATTTTAAACGAAAAATATTTATTTATCTTTCTCAATTTGTGCTTGGCATCTTTTATTCAAATCATTATGAGAGGTGATAGAAACAAAGTTTTTTTGGCATGACCACTGATGATAGTCGGTTATGAGGGGTTTCAGCAATAATGACTAATATAGTTTTAATCAGCTCATTATTGATTTGTGGCAGTGATCAATAAAGGTAGTGAGGCAGCCGGAAATAGTAATACTTGGGATTATTTATTTATTTAAAATGGCAGGCATTATGATAGCTATCATTAGCCATTTAGCTGACTTCGGGCTTCACAGAAGGAAGGTTCATCAAAGTAGCAGAAAGTCGAGAGGTGGGGATCAGAAGAGCGATTCACAGATGTAAAAGAGGCAGACACACACAAAGTTAGGGAAAAAGGTAAGATGAGTACTGTGGAAGGGGTCGAATATGACATAGAGTGGGTTGATGGTAGTTTGAAGTCAGAAGTCAATTGCCAGTTAATAGACTTTTTGCCGTATGAGTATACGTTGCCCAGGGTGCACCACGTGGAGGTAAGTCTATCGCACACCCCAAACTTGGGATTAGTAGAAGATGGAAAGAGCACTGATACAGGAAACTGGTTGCTCAGTTGAGCTGCAAACACAGTTAGATCAGTTATACTTTATTCGTTCAATTGCTGATTATGGAAGAGGATCGCTACAGGAATATGACTTAACTAAACCTCAGCAACTGCTATGGTAAACTCTTCCAGTATCGAATTGGTCCCGAAATTAGATAATTTACCTCAATAATATCCAGGGAACTGAGGTAAGGTGTAAACAGTCTTTACCATGGTTGTGTGTTGCTAACGCAGAGCTTAGTTAAGTTAGTACATTTTTGGCTAAGCTGACCTTATCGTGATTACAGACTGTTGCTTGGCCGTGAGATCTCTGTGCTCACGACTGCAAGGGATGGTTATGAGGTAAGGAACACAACGCCCCTTTCCAGAATAATCAATCGCGCATGAAATTTATTGGCTGAACTATGTTAGCGCTGTGTTCTCCCCAATATCAGCTCCACACATCACTTAGCTAGCTAGAATGTCGAGATTTATAAAAGTCGAACTCCCTTTACTAGCTCCAAAATTGTACTCGAATTTATAATAAATGACTCCTGTGTATGTGCCAAAAAATGCTCACACCTTCAACACAAATTATTTTAAATTGTATCTTATGAGAAAATAACCATTTCATTGCCCTTATAATTAAAATGACATGCATGTAGGTAGATCTAAACATTGTTGTCTTGGCGATATTAAAAAAAGACTTCTTCGTATTTTTTGCAAAAGCAATTATTTGATTTGGCCTTACATAGTAACAATCTACTATTTCAGCTGGTGCCTTCTGAAATACCGTTTTTTGTCTTATTGATCTTTTATGTCCACGTAGAGCCGGATCATTCTCAATACCTTCAACTCTATTTCTTTGTGTCTCAATAACTTTTTACGCCAATCAACCCAAACTCCTATTTCTTCTTTATCAAACCATATCTTCGTGTTTTTATTTGCAGTTCACCTGAAAATACAGTATCCATTATGTACCATTCTTGGATGGATATATGGGGAAATCACATCCGCGTAAACTTTTTCATTTCTTTGAGAAGAGTTGAATTTCGAATAGGAATTGAAACATCCGTTCTGTTGGAAAAAAAACTTTACAAGCCCTGTAAACTCCTAATTGCCATAAATTTTACCCTGCCTTGGTAATAGGTACTACAGACTCTCGCGCTTCCTTTGTTTGGTCAATATCCAAACAAAAATCGCCTCTCTTACTTGAGTCATAAGATATGCCAAATTAAGGACCACAAGTAAATACCTTTTTTAGTTCATCACTCTCAAAATACCCTATTGCGCTTAAGCGTGAAAGTTTCATTCAAAATTAAATTTTAAGTTAATCCTTTTGGCAAGAAGCTGATGCAGCAACTTTTCCTGTTTAATTTCTCTTTTTGCGAAAAAGTTGCAACTGGCGCCAATAAAGTCGATGATATTAAGCGCAATGATCTTAAAATCGACATTATCTTTAAGGATTAGGTGGGTATAACGAACAAGCTTTCTCGCTAGTTTTAATTAGCGGATATAGTTCGAAAGGTCATGTTTAATTGACGGAATAAACCTTCGATGAATCTTAGCAGAAAGTTCAACTCGTCATCTCACTGCGTATTTAAGCTAATTAGTCGAAGCAGTTAATAAAGGATCCTACTTAAGTCTTATCAGTAAACCAAATATGCATCTTTATACTAATTCGCAGTCACAACAATACTTTTCTTTTGTTGGTGATTTATATCCGACTCCTTCAATCTTGATACTTTCTTGCTCTATTAACATATAGAATTACGTGGTTGCAACCCCAATTTTTGCAAATTAGTAGCTCTGTGAGAATGCAATACTACTAATCAATCGTTTCCGATTGGTTAATTTTTTTTGGGGGGGGGGGGGGGAGGGAAGGAGAATGCACCAATAAGCCACCATCAGATAAGTGTGCATACTAGGATTACCTAAGGGGAGACAGGCTCTAGCCACCGCTCTTTGGAATTTATCGAAATCTCATGCAGGTGTTCAGTGGTAGAATACGCCCAAATTCTAAGGCCATGAAGGCTTCGTGGATAACCCGGGGCTATCACAACATAGATTAAGTAGAAATTATTGAATTCCCTAACGAGGCTTAAAATTTTTCAGCCAGTCGTCTGATAGATATGTATATAGAGGTTGTGTGAGAGTGTGTTTAACTGATAATTTAAAACACAGTAAATAAACGTTGCGAAAATGACATTTGTAATTACACAATGTTAGTTTACAATTCAAAATATCGGTTTCACAAGCAAGAAGAAAATAGTTTGTCAAATTAAAGGTATTTTCAGAATACGGTGCATATCAAAAGAAATTCCTAAGTTTACCCCGTGTTTCCGTTCTCACGATGAGATCAGCGATTGGCTAAATTGAAATAAGACATCGATTAATGTACACTTATTTTGCAAAACAGCCCACGAGCACACATTCACGCTAACAATCATTTTGATAATACAGTTGTAAGAAGCACATTCAAAACTTTTGCTTGTGCTAAACTCACATTACACTTTCACCTTCGCCACTAAAGGAAATGAAATGATATATAATAACTCCTAGAGCTCTTATACCATTGGTGTAACCATTTGAGTGGAATCAATGTGACTTTAGCAATGCTGTAAAATAGAAGTAGTGATTACCATTAACTTGCGTGCGAATATGCATTCTACTATGGAGAGGATTATGGCGATTACGATACCGATCAGCATTAGAATGAAGATTCCACCGACTTCGGAGAGGGTGATTGTGTATCGGTGTCCACCCCCGTTTGCGCCTTTTTCAACTGGCATCGTGCAAGTCCTTGAGCTTTGTTGGTCGGTGTATCTAAAACATATGCTCAACTTTAATTATTAAATCGATTATTGCGATATCCCTTACCGTAATTATGTCCTACCCAATCCTAATATAATCCACCTCGTCCTGAATAACTAATTTTCCGTTTAGATACATTTATTGAAGCTTAAATGAATCATCCCAACTTGGGATATATTTTCCTATTTAGGACATTCCATAGAAAAGAAAATAGAATTCTTCATTGCACACCCTATCGTATCGAACTAACGATTTCGACTACGTTTAATAGTATTACCAGTGACCCTATTCAATGTACTAATTTCACCCGGTCTATGCCTACTATATACATAAAGAAACCACATTTTACCCCACACAATTAAAGCACTTTTAATATGAGTTGCCATAATCGTTATGATCATTTTTTCCAAATTCTTTTGATGATGTTAATGTATTCGTACGCTTATTAAAGTAGATGATTAATTAATAGAGTGAAACAGAGAGAGAGAGAGTATCTCCACTGAGATAGTATTCTGACATAATTTGATTGCCTAGTTGTCATTGCTATGGTTTCTGTTGGCTGGAGAAGTTTTTTCAAAATATCATTTAGCTAAAAGTTCCACACGCAAATAATTACCCCTATTCGTCTTCTTAATAACCAGTTATTGAAGGATTCTATCAAATCAAAACTAAGCATTAGGATTCTAATTCACCTGATTCTTGAAATAGAGCCTAATCTCGATTCGAAAATAATGCAATGGAAATTTCAATATCTCCAATTGAATAAATGACATCTATTTGAATATTAGCTCATAAAACTTTCCGCACCCCGTTTGCGAGCGAATGAATGGAACTTACGAATTGGTAATCTTCTTGATAGTTCCATCGTTAATGAGAGCTGTTAATCTGCCATTGAGATATTTGGTATAGACGGTATTTAGTTTGAGAAAAATAGCGTACTGCTGCGAGGAGTACTCCCCAGTAACGACGAGGCAGTACTTGTTGGCAAAGTAATCCAGTGTGAAACTGTCGCTGATGAGACGATATTTCCCATCTCGCACTTGTTGAACTCTCTCCTCAATTGTAATATTTCTCTCATTGGCCTGGGAGTATAACTTATCACTCAGGTAGTTAATTTTCTGTATCTCGAGATCATTGGAGAGCTTTATTTGTGCTGCGGCCACCGAATTGGGCAACGCGCCGAATGGTATTGATGGATCAACTAGCAATCCCTGAAACAACATAAAAAGGGAGGTGTTAACTATGCCAACGATGTGATTGACGGATTAGATTTTGGTCCATCCTACATCTGGTGCTAGATTGGGCTGTGACCGCTCTGAAACTAAACTGACCATTGAACAAAAGGATCTTCTTTGTGTCTTTGTTTTGTTGACTTCTACTTTACTATCACAAGTAATGCAGTATATATGTATGTTTTCAGGAATGAAGACCTTATAGAGTAGGCAGATAAATATGAAAAGTTGTGAACTTCATTAAGGTGTGAGCGAGGGAAAAAGGAAACAGGAGGTACCTAGAGGTTACCAAGATGAGAAAAAAGGAAGGCCCTCTTACCCCCCCCCCCCCCCAGCGTGTCAACGAATTTGCTACGTATCTACACTAATCTGCCTACTAAAGTACACTTTTAACTATTTAATAAATGACAAACTGAAACAGCCGGTGATTATAATGTGTGATCTCTTCAGACAACTAGGAAATTTCAATCGTGCTTGGTGACTTACAGACTACGTAATGAAAAAGAGGAACAGTAATAAGGTGAAAGAACAATGTAACTGAGAGGAAACATTTTCACTCAAAATACTACATTTGTTAGGATGTACCAATTCAATCGACTAGCAACTGAAAATTTAAATGGAAAAAAATTTGTCGTATTTGTGAAAATTAAGCCGAAAGGGACCCAAAATGCAAATACCCAATAAGTTCCTACAATGTGACAACGAATGGAACACATTGGTGTGAGAAGTGCATTTCAAAAAAATGGATGGGCATTTGTTAGTACAAGTTCAATGCCTTCATCATTTTCAGATTGGACTAACATTTTCAATTAAAAATAAATAGGTAAAATAATATTATAATAATATAGTACATAATAATAATAATCTATTGATAATCATTTCTCGTAAAGTTTGCGGTTTGCAAAGTTTGTATTATTAGCATAGGTGTAATACTATAAGTCTGTATTTAAATGTGCTTAAACCCTTAGTCGAAAATGAAATCTCACCGTAAAACCGGTGGCTTCACTTTGGATTCCATTGTACATGATTAAAGCGGCGTAGTTGGCGATGTAGATGACAGTGAAGAAGAGGACAAACAGCCACCAGACACAGAGCATGAAACGACTGGACCACTGGTTTGGTGGCGAGACAGTGAGACCTTGAAACAGACATCCGAAGGTGACAAAAATCGATTCGTAAAAGCCATAGTTTACATTATTGGGCGAGAAGTAGTTCAGGGTGGCGAGAACCAGAGCGACCACAATGGAGCAAAAGAGTATTAGTACCCAGGAGCCAGCAGAGAGAGGTTGAAGGAAGAGCCAGAGGTAAGTCTTCTTCTGAGTGATCTCTGGTTTCTCTAGAATTGCCAAGGTGAAGTAGAGGAAATTGCTTATAAAGTCGAACTCGTCCTTTAGATCAGGCAATACAGCAAAATCTCCCACCGCCATATCCGCAAACTACATATCAAATAGAAGTAATAGTTATTTCCCTGCCAGTCAGATATTCTAATGCAACAACGTTCATCAAGGACTCTAGGGGCTGGAATGACGCGACACTTTTACCCTTATCTTCAAGATATCACTCAGGAGTCGAAAATAAGCTCAAGTATTTATAAAACCTTCGTTTTCTCTCTCTCTCTCTCTCGTATCTGATGTACGAGGCGTGAGGAAGACTGTCGCTACATATTAAAATGTTTTCATGCCCGTATAGATTTGTTAATTGCGGCATTATCATATCAAAATATTGCTTATTAGTATGAAGTTTGTAAAGCTGTTTTAGACGTTTTTATATCCCTCAAACTGGTCTTTGTTCGCTAACTCATTCCCCAATAAGAAAGACTGAACTTATTTTTTATTCTCATTTCTCACTTTATTCCAATATAAGCATTTAATCATGGAATAGAAAGCAGACTCTTAAATTTTTTGAAGCTTTCTCTAGTTACAAGCTCCCTTAAAGACTTCTAGAAGACGTTTCACTTCTTCTATTCTTCCCACTAAGGCTAATTTAACTAGGAACCTTATCCAGTGAATAGCATTACTTGATGAACTGGTTCTAGTGGCATATTCGATCGGTTAGTAAGCTGCTGATTCGATGTATTAACAATAAGGCTTTAGGCAACTCACTCCTTGGTTGACGCTCATTAGGGAATCACTTGACATGCTAACTGGGTAGCAGGTGCATTCGTATTCAACCCCAATAGGATCGAGAATTGCTCTCACAACGTCAATTGTCATTCCAGTAAGATCGAAAATATTGCAAGAGTTTGGTTCGGAGATTTTCTTGCTACTATCCTTGAACATCGCAAACGGAGTCGCCTAAAATTATAAAGAACGAATGAGGCTCATGAATGCAACATTTATCATCACCGTTAAAACGTTCTACTTCCTTTAACGAAAAATGATTGCATACGTGGATGTGTTCTAAACGTTTAGTATGAGGTATTAATCTGAGTGCAAGTGCTCTATGCATCTGAAGAAAGGCTGAACTGTATGAATACGGGCAGACGAACAAATGCTTTGTTGCTTGGAGCAAGACCTTAGTTTGACCTTATTCTTCTAGCCTACTATTCATTAATGGGTAAGGTGATGCTGCACTTGACACCTGGAGGTCATGTAGCCAAAACTACCATTTATATGACTACCAAAATGATGTCAATCATGTAAGCTGCAATGAAGCCAACACCATAGGTGAATTTTCTGGGCCTTATTCCTGAATTGAACACATTATTGTTCAAATAGAGCACATACCAATACTACAGCGATTCGCATCTTGCGGGATTTCAGAATAGTTTCGATTGCCTCATTTGTGAATGAAAACAATTCGTTAAACGTCCCATTTATTTTGGCCGTATTGTCCTTGATTACCACTGATCCAACCTAGAATGGTAAAACCCGACACTTGGAGAAAATTAGAGTGAAGGCAAATACATTGATCCCTCTTGCTTACGTTCTTTGGTGTCTTCATCAATCCCCTCGCTACTGTCAGAGCAATGGATGTTCTTGGTTCATTTATGTTGTTGAAATCGAAATCACCGGTTAGACCGGTGTAATGTGTCTCCTAAAAGAGGAAAAGATTGGTAACAAAAATCCCCTCGTAAACCTAAACATACTGTTAGGCTGTCATTACAGGCCGACTCAATATAGGCCTTGGCTGCGTGCGCAGTATCAGAGGCGAGCTTATCCTCCATGGTATTTGCTATATCTCCTAACGGTACTTCGGAATTTCCAACATACAAAACGGAGACATTTGCCATGTCTACCTCGTGACCTTTTGGAGGCTGTGGTATGCCTCCATCCTAAACAAAAACAGAGAAAATGAACACTTTTTTGGCTATTACAAAAAATAATATCTTAATAATTAAGGGTTTCGTTCACGAGGTATAATATATACGAATCGTGAATTAGTTCCATAACTGTAATTGGCTTTTTAAGCAGATTGTAATGTAAAATCGCCTCAGTGTGTAATTCTCCATTTTCAATCTTTAATTTGTCGTGAATTAAATGAAATCCATGCTTTTTAACCCCTTCACTGAATGTTTTAAAACAGTACGGTTGTGGGATAAAAGGTCCAATGAAGATATGCGGCAAGACCCTGTTACTTAGTAATTATAAGTAGTTGGGCCATTGCCTTACCAGCCAATTCGAAAGCATTTGAAACCATTGGATATACCCAACTTCAGATCCCATGCTGCAAGGGAACGTAATTTGATAAATGCGCTTTAACACTCCTAAGTCACTTATATTGCCTTCCATAAACCTATTGACCTGAATGTCTTTGGCATTCAATGATGTCATTATCTATGCGGAGCTCACCAATTCTCCCACATTTAGACAAATTATACTAATCTAGTGAGTCAATTTCGTCTTCAATAAGAAAATGCAATTCTTGCATCAACTTCTATCACAAGAGCACTCTTAATTCCGAATTATTTGCCGCCTCGCCTTCAAATTTAAATATGATTTCTGCAAGCCGTTGAATGCTAATAATTTCATAATCTATAGGAGAGAGTCTTAATGCCGGTATAGTTATGCACACAACTGTCCTTTTCGTTTTTGACCCAGTTAGTACAAATATTATTTAAAAATGATTATTCTTGAGGGTGTACTCTCATTTCCGCCTTTTTCTTTAAGTGCGTGTGAAATTAATGAGCATAAGATATAACTCATTTGAATATGCTTCAATTTTCACAAAAAATAATTTAATCAAACATACCATGGGAGCTATTACCCATCGACGATTCCATGTGAATAAGCTCTTATTGTAAGCCTGCAATTAAAAATATACGCTAGATATTAATTTGTTAAAGTTCTTAAACTAAGTAACTGTTAAAAAAATGGTCAGTCCTTACATTTTCAATAACATTATTAACGTTTTCAGATGGCAGTAAGAGGATGACATTCTCAGCGTTGACTTCATTTATTTTCGTCGTTAACACCTCAGCGTCGTCTACATTTTGATACCAAAACATTGACATCTGCGTTGTTATGTTCGAAGCAATAAGGATGAAATCCAGTACTAGAAATGCCATAAGTAATTCTTTTTTTAATAATTCAGAGTGATGCGAAGGGTGACTACAATTCACAAACTTCAATTCAAATTGCCAAACAGCAAGAAAGTTTTAAGCGACAGTCACTTTTGAAAATATTCAAGATATGAATGAGTTATTGAAAATGCAAAAAATGTGGAAATAGATTGCGCAAAGTGTTGTTTTAATCGAGGATTTCAACAGAAATTTTACGTACATTTAAAAGGCTCTTGTATGCTCGCTAAAAATAAACAAAAGACATCATTTTTGCATGTTCCATAAAGTCACTTCAATTAACGTGTTAAATTACAAGGAAGTAATGAGAATGATTAAATGATTGCATGCTAAATAGAACACATTCATGTTGAAGAGATGTTTTTTGCTGAACTATACCTCCACAGAACCCCATTAACGAGTAAATTTCTCCTTTCAACTGGGACGAACTTCAATCACCAAATTTATTGCATTACTATCATTAATATTCCATTAAAAATTTTATTTATCTCTTCAAAAGTAGTCCGTTTTATCCAACCACTGATAAGTACGCTAAATGAAATGTTAATCTCATGCACTAACACATTCTCACACTTCCATTTAAGTATCTTTGTATCAAGTTCAGAGAACAACCGATAACCTCATCAGATTTCTGTGTATTTTCTTACCACCTTCTAGTTTTGAAGTTGTCAGAGCAGTAAAGGGAATTCAAGATATATCATAAATTTTATTTAAAAAGAAAATTGGCTGTGTATTCCACTGCCCTCCAAATGCTATGAGTATGCAGCTTATTTGTCTTATTTCATATTTGAAAGTGGCGGTGCGCGATAGACTTACCTCCACATGGTGCACCCTGGGCAACGTATGCTCATAATGCAAAAAATTCTATTAATCGGCAGTTGACTTCTCACTTCTAACTACCAACACCCCATTGAATGCCATATTCTACCACTTCCATAGTACTCACCTCACCTTTTCTCTGCCTTTGTGTCTGTCTTCTTTTACTTCCCCCCCCCCTCGACTTTTTTCACTTTGATGTTCCTCTCCCTCTGTGAAGCCTGAAGTCAGCTAAAGAGGTAATGATAACTATCATAACGCCTGCCATTTGATATAAATAAATATTTGAAAGTGAACTCGTAGTTAATAGAACTTTTCACAATTAATATATATTCTGTGATTGAGTTATTATGGAGTTAGTTATGGCGGCTATGCCTAAAGGCACAACTCACTTCTGTACTTTGGCATGGCTATAATGGTCTTCTCACTTGGAAGGGACCGCGGTCCGCGCATTTCCTCCATCAATTCAACACAGGCGCGAAGAATTTTGGCGGGATCAAGATCCAGGGTAGACACATAAATATCTTCCATTTTATTACTGGAATTGCATATAAATGGATCTAGTTTCTTCCGGCTAATGAAATAGTCCTTGGCTCCAAAAATCCCAACAGCATTAGAGGCTATCATCAATAAATGGGGTAACAGTAATCATCTTTTGGTGTGTGAGAGTTTGTTTAAAAAGATGCTACTTTTGCAAAATTTAATGGCTCATATTCTTGAGAACTCCAGCTAGGCTTATTAAACATCATTTAACTAAATCGATTTCCATCGACGGATTGATTAACTAATGTAAATATATTCAATTGTACATCTATGAATTCATTAGACTGGGAAAGAATAATTACAATTCAATCAGCTTTATCCAATTTGCCTGAATGCAAAGGTAATTAATTTAATGATTAGAACCTTTTATTGTTCCCTAATGAAAAATATTCATCTAAATATATGCACTTTTTAAAATCAATGAAATGACTTACCACTTCCTTCTGGACTAAGAGTTTCAAATGTCAGGTTTTCAATTGGCCGTTGTGGATATATGCTCTCAAATACTTTTTTGACCACATCAGGTTTGATATTTACATTGAAAGTCAGATCTAACATTTTATAGGGAAAAAATACCATTAATGTTTAAATTTGCCAAAGGGAAAGGTTTCAAGTACACTGACAAGGCACACCTGCTCATGCCTTCAAAAAGGCGTTAATTACTCGAATATTTCCTTGTTCATCTACCTGCTTCTTGCTAGAAACAGTGTCAGCTCTTATGTCCCCCCCCCCCCTAAGACAAATATTATTTGGTTATTTTAACCCATCTAAACACTACTATTTATAAAATTTCTTGATGAAACAAAAACAAGTCTTAAATTTTTTACGTCTTATCCATGAATATGCTATAAGATGTTGGAGCAAAACCCGAAGAAGTAACTTTATTGTTGGTTGAATACTGGATTTTCGAACAAATGTGTCCCTATTGTGTATTTCTCCATAAAACTAATCGATTTTAGGGCATTGTTTTTAACTTGATTCCAAATTACAGACAATTCAAGCACCAAATTGTGATTTCAAATACCATGAATGTTAGAAATTCCCAATTAAAAAGAACTGATTTTGTGGTGTTGCAAGTAAAAATGAAGATTGTAAAAGATGTTTTTTTCCCTAGACCAGCTCGTTTAAAACTTTGTTTTTGCACTGAATGCATCAATACCACTTATAAATACTGTAGCTAGAAAAGATATTTCGATCCATTATAAAAAACTGAAACTAGCTTAAAGAATTACTACTGAATGAATAATTGAATAAGTAATCCATTTCACAGTGACAATTGAAGAATACGTTTCTGCAACACAATATTGTATAGAAATGAAAATCTCGTCTATTACCCACTATTTCATATTAGTAATAACAAAAATTTTGGTGTAAATTCTGGAATTTGCGAAAGTAGGAGGTCTCGTAGTAAAAAAAATAATGTCTTTCCATTAAATATAAAGCAGTGAAGAAGGCACACAAACACCTATATAAAATTCAAAGTACTTAAATTTATTAGAAACGTGCTTGTTTTAGAACACCATGTGGACCTCGTTTTATTGCCCCTAAGCATTTTCATGTCCTAAAAAATAAACTTACATAGAGTTTTGGTAGGTTCTTGTCCACTGCAAATTGTAATGCAAAGCAGTAAAATTGGTATAATTTTAAACATTCTCCAGCTCAAATCGAATATGTGCTTAACAAAAGCTTCAGAGGCGGCTGTATGAGTTAGATGCACTATATCACGAATTGACCAATCAAAGGCTTCTCCACACACATGCTTATGCGTATTTTCTCTGTCTGATTGCTTGCTTACCACTGAAATTACCTTGCCCTTCCATCATTGGTTAATACCACTCTTAGTGAAGCTCAATTCAGACTCACAAATCGTGTGAGTCATTAAAAATACACCAAATCTTGCAAAATAATACTGTAACGTATTGTCACGCAAATTAAAGATTCATGACGAAAGGGATTTCACTGGGATGAAAGTTTACAATTGAAGTTGCTAATTCACTATACTGGTATTGCTTCAATTGCACCTTAAATGATGAGAATTTTCGATTTCATGGAGAATTTATTAACATGAAGCTGGTTTGAAATTGAAGAAAAAAACTGTTTCCTTTTACTTCCCATCCTGTTTTCTGCTTCATTGTTAACGAACAACAGTTTCCGCCAACTTTGGCTAGGTTCTATTATCATGATCTTTTATTTTTTGGCTTTAATGTCCCCAAAACAAGAAATGTCGTCGATTATAACAGGAACCCTGTGAGTTGCTCCTCTGGTCTACAAGTCACTCCAATTGCAGTAAACACCTCTAAATCAGTTGAATATCGGCTGTAGTCTCTAACCTTATCTCTCCATTGTTAAGCTTCAGGTGTCATTTAATGTCACCTTGTTGAGGTCTCCGAAAGTAAGTTATTCGACACACGAGCTGCCGCTGCCCACTTCCTACTTTTAATATTTTAAACTCCATTTTTCGAATCTATGCCATAGGATTTTCTATTTAAACGCTAAATCAACACTATCTCTATCTCCCTCTCTCCCTCCCTCTCTCTGAACCTTTCATTTATTACTTACAATCTCTTGCTTATCAGTGATCTTTATTTTCCCGAACTTTCGAACATGGCCATCAACACGCCAGAATTCATTTTGTGCACTTGCATACCTCGTTATTTACTGGAGCTTTTCATAGAGGAGAGCATACTTATGATTTACGTTACCATCTTCAGGTCAAAATCCCATCCGAATGGAGGGGGGTGGGGGATCGAGTTCTCGTTGCTAGAGCAAGAAAATTAGTAAAGTTCACCGTAGTATAATAATAATAATAATAGATATTCATGAAAAGCGGTATTTACAATGAAATTTCGCCAAGTAAAAATGCTTAAATACTATTTGAAATTATATTTCCTCAATAACGGTTTCTTAATTAATACTATACTAAAAGGATAAGTTTCAATATGATTTCAACGTTAAAATAGCGAAAAAAGTTGTGAGGGATTCAACAGGAGGAAATGATAAAAAGTTCTTACAGTTTGAATTAAAAATAAGATCGGACAGTAATTTTCTCATGAGTGTCAAATTCACTAGAGTAATTGTCTATGGTCTTTGGGCTTAAATTTTTCGATTCCTAAGTTCTCGGTTTAGTTCGTTATCAGAATTAACCAGACAAATCGCTTTATCAACTAAGAATGGCCATGCACCACCAACCACCAAATCAAGAAAGAGCTATCAATCTGTCAATCTTCACAGTGTCCGGCCCGGGTATAATAAAAATTATATCCACAACGATATATGAAATAGTTGGTGTGCGGTAGACTTACCTCCACGTGGTGCACTCTGGCAACGTATACTCATACGTCAAAAAAGTCTATTAATCGGCAGTTGACTACTGACTCTTTTACGTCTATGAAAAATTATTCTGTCCCCCCCCCCTTGACTTTTTGCCACTTTGGTACTCCTCTTCCTTTCTGTGAAGCACGAAGTCAACTTAAGGGCTAATGATACCTATCATAACGCCTGTTATTTGAAATAAATAAATAAAGTTCTTGGTTTAGTTTATGACTTATTGTCTAGTTGAAACAAATGTAGTGATTTGATGTGACATTTTAGAAGATTTGTTACTCCTGACGACAAAATGTTGGTAATTTTGCTGTATTACATGACATTACCTATTTAAGATTTTGTTCGTATTAAATATTAATTCAACTTTAAAAGAATTGACTTAACTTTATCTACTCTTAGTATTTGAATGTGATGGATAAAGTTCCTACTGAAATTTTTCAATAAACAATTATCCTCTCTAATTATTTTGTGGAAGCAAGAACGTTTATCTAAGACTCTCATTAGCATGCGTGTATCGTTCATGGTTCATTAGACAAGAATTAAAAATTTCTCCATAAAAAGTATTCCATTTAATGCCTTTAACTGTTATTAAGAATATGATTACATATACAAAATCATTTGCGTCTCTAGTCGGCTGAAATAAGTCAAGGTTTGAAAACAGATTGAGAATGCACCAATATTGTGTAATTGGTGAAATTTTTTTCTTCTATCTCATTGTGAACGAAAAAGAGTGTATCTTGCATTGCTGGGTAAGAACAAGTCGGATAGAGGGTGGCGAGCAAAATTGTGCTCCATTTTTTCTTCATTTCGACTTTACAATGACAACCTGGGCAGTGGGTTGAGTCAGCAGATGTGTATTGCAAAAGGTGCAGCAGGTGCTGTGGAATCCGCCTTTTACTAAGCTTGATTGAAAAGAGCTTTTATATTACTCAAAGATAAAAAAGAGCAAGTATTCATTTATAAGGAAACAACTTCATAAAAGTCTCGTTTCATTATTCAAATGAAAAATGACCTGAAAACTGAATTAATTCATTCTAGCGTATGATTACCTTGATCAATATTTTCAGTACAAAGTAATGCGGTCTATTTTTATGCCTTCCGTGGCACAATGATTCATGAAGTACTAAGGCATACATTTTTTTATCATCGCTCAATTTGGAGTATTTACCCTCCACTAACATAGCATAGCTGCTTGAGTTACATTTAGTCGGATTACGCTCCAGACAATTGGCACAAATTTTATAATACACACTGTTACAAAGGTGTGTTTAATTGCACAAAAAGGCAGTACCCCGAGTTAATTGTCCCTCAACACACCTCAAAATTAAGCTCAAGGCGAATGCTCTGACTTCAGTTTTCGCCTTCAGATTAATTTAAACTGGCATTATCCTTCATAAAGGCATCCAAGTTTGGCGCTTTCATTTAAGATACTATTCGTGCAATCTGACCTGGTTCCACTACTACTATTAATTATTAATGATATACAATTAAAATTACATATTCTAAGTAGTTAGCACTTCTTCTTCTTCCGTTTATCTACTATGGGACTTGAAGTCAAAATTCTAGTTAGTGATTTCAAATTTCGACTTCAATTGGTATTAAACCTAGATACCTAATGAATGCTATATCCGCTAAAATGTCCGTGCTTTCCTAGTTGTCAGTGTATTAGTTTGTGTAGCCCATTAGGCAGACAAAGCACACAAAATAGTCTGAATCCGCCAGAACAAATGGACTCATCCTTTTCATCGTAACCAGGATTCTATGAAATCAATATTGATGTCTCCTCCACACCCTCCCTCCACCCCACCACCTCCTCCAGTTCCACTTCCTCTTCCCACACCTTCATCGCTTCCTCCCTTGTCTCAATACGGATGTCTAGCGCACCCTTGATCCAACCCAATACCTTTTCTTCAGATTTTGGCCCCCCGTTATGTCCAATTAACCTTTTGGAGAATAATTCGTTTTCAAAATCATGTGGTTATTCCAAATGCTCCTGAGTCTTAAAGAAACTCTAATGATGAGATTAACGTCTATAAATAGCTCTTCAGAATGGAGAACCACCAATTCTATCGGAATGAGATTTGTCATCTGATATACTATCAAACTCCCAACATCGACCAAATGGTAGGTAAATATATCAGTTAATGTGATTTAGATACCACTCATTATTTTGTTCGTTCAGTGTCCAATTAAGTTCGCATCTATTTTTATTGCTATTAGTAAAATAACACAAT